TAAGTGTTTATGTTGTTAAGATGGCCCTATTGTTTGCTTATCCAGCGGAATTAGAAGCATTCTACAAGTTAAAAGCTGAGAAAGTTTCTGAGGGAAAGGAAGTGTAAGTTCTATATGTCGTATTTTTCAGGTGCTCATCTTTCATTCATGATAGAACATGTTTACTGAGAATGATATGCTGGCAGATCTAGTGATGAAATTGTACGTCCAAGGGTTCCCCTAGAAGCATGCTTAGCAAACTTTTCAGCTCCAGAGGAGGTCCAGGATTTCTACAGCTCTGCCTTGAAATCGAAGACAACTGCTATTAAGTGAGCTTTATGACCTTTCAATCTGTGGATCATTTTAGCTGTCATTTGATTAGCTATAATATCAATGTCTTTGTATGGCATTGATGTAATACGTGTACATCTTGATGAACAAGCAAATGCTTAGATGGACATACGTTTGGCTGAATAGTAGAAAGTAGGCATGGAGCTTTTCTTGCTTGCCATTTCTTGTGATCTTAGTGAATATGAAGCCACAAGTTTCCTCTTGATCAATTTTTAGGATCCAGTCAACAAGGTATCTTACATTGAAAGTTGCAGGCTTGAAGCTGTGTAATCTCCCACTGTGCTGCTGAAGACTGCCGATTCTATAGGATTTTATATTTCAAAGATCCTTTTATTGTCATAAATTCTGTAGTTCATCCGCTCTCTTCTCCTTAGGATGCACATATCACTGCTCCATGATTGTGAGAAGAAAAAATTATTTTTTTAAGAGACACCAGATGCAGAATTGCTCACAGCACCACTTTACTAACAATAAATCAACTATAAAATTACAGGACAGCTGGTCTTACATCATTTCCTGACTACTTGGTGCTTCACATGCGGAAATTTGTGATGGAGGAGGGATGGGTACCAAAGAAGCTTGGTATTTTGCATACAACTGAGTTTGCAATTTTGTCTTATGTGAGAATCTGGTTGATTGTTTTTCTTTCTGTCTTTCGATCAGATGTGTATATTGATGTCCCGGATGTCATAAACATTAGTCACATGCGGAGCAATGGTCTTCAGCCTGGAGAAGAGCTGCTACCAGAAGGTGATTGTGACATAAATAAAGTGTTTTACTTTTATTATCCTAACTTAAAGGGTGCAAATGCGAATTTTTTATGAAGTTTCATATTCTTGTCATTCCATTTAGGAACTTGTATTTTTATTGAGAAGTTTTTATTTGAGAGATATTAGCTGGCGATAGAATTCCTACATTTCTTTTGGCCCATTTCCTGTGGCTGCTTTCATCATAGTAGACTATCATTTGACCAATGCTTGTGTATTTTATTGACAGCTGTTTTATTTTGTGCTTTACAGTTGCTGAGGATGAGGTGGGATCAAATAAGCTTGTGGCCAATGAGGATATTGTTGCTCAACTTGTATCAATGGGATTCAACTATCTGCACTGTCAGAAAGCTGCAATACGTACGTTAAATGCTGGAGTAGAGGAGGCTATGAATTGGTTATTGACACACATGGATGATGCCGGTATGTAGCTGCTACCTTGGTGGATTTTGTTGCTGTATGGCCCCTACCATTTGCACTTAAAGTGAAAAGGACCATGATCCTAATAAAGTTGTAACTGAAATGGTTTCAGATATAGACATCCCTATTTCTGAAGCAGATGTGATTCCTGCGACTGCATCATCTACAGTTGACCAATCAAAAGTTGATACTTTGGTTTCATTTGGTTTCCCAGAAGAAATAGCGAGGAAGGCACTCAAAGCATCAGTATGGATTTTGTGGCCCTTTGTTGTTTGCATTCTCTCATACTGCTCCCTCATCTTTTTTGGGAAGATGTGCAGCAGCATTTTTTACATGGATGTTGCTGAAGATAATCTAAAGATGAACTGAATTTTATCAATTGTGACGGGTTTAATTTCTTCTTTTTTTTAGGGTGGTGATATTGAAAAAGCAACAGATTGGATTTTCAGTAATCCAGATGCCTCTGCCTCATCTGATGTTAATGCCACCACATCGAACTCTACACCGAGTCCAAGTGACGCAGGTTTACCTGATGGAGGAGGGAGTAAGCGCCTCATCACTTTGATTAATTCTTATGCTTTCAGATTTTTCAGTTTGTTTCACATGGCTGAAATTCGTTATTCTGATAAAAGATGTCTAGCTTGGCGTCTCTGTTTTGTTCAATTACTAGCTGCAAATCATGTGTTCTGGCCAAAATCACTCATCTAGTTTACAAGGGCTTTTGAATCAACTTGTTTTTCTGGCTCCCTTATTTATGGTTGTTTTACTGATTTTAGATGACATTGTAATTGATTCTTCATTACTGTATAGCTCTTGTTAACCTACTCTCCCAGAATTGGGAGGGTTGATTTTCTCCTAAGATGATCACACATCATATGAAAAAGAGTCTAATGGCTGTGTGACTTAGAATATCAACTTATGTTTTTTTTTTCACCGATGCTTAGTATCTTAGTGGGTAAGTTGACCCTCTCAATTTGAGCCAATCGCCTTTTTCTCCCTTTGACGAGACATTCATCTGTTTCCCTCTCTTCAATTGCCATTGAAATGGAACTGGACAGTCTAGATTTAATTTCTCAAGCACATAACTTCAATTTGATTGGGCCATTAATATGCAGGATACAAGCTTATTGGATTGGTGAGCCACATTGGAACCTCCACACTTTGCGGTCACTACGTTGCTCACATATTGAAAGATGGTAGATGGGTAATCTTTAATGATGATAAGGTCGGAGCGTCTGTGAACCCACCCAAGGATATGGGTTACTTGTACTTCTTCGAGAGACTAAATAGCTGAAGACATTTCAGTGACTTAGCATCAGGGATATAAGATGTTTAAGGAGGATCCCTTAATGTTGAGCAAAGCAGTACGTGGAGCGGCTTTAAATTCTGCTTCCTTTCTGGGTTTGAGTGGTAAACTCCGCATACTCATTTGGTTCGTAATTCGTACGGGCTACTTCAGCGAGAACCTGCAGCGACATTTCTAACATTTGCTGGCCGGGGCTTCCCTTCTCTTGGGGACAAAATGTCATATTCATTACATGATTTAGGATGCATCGTCGAGGCAAATTTGAGGCATGATGAATTTTTTGGATCGTGTGTCTTGAAATGGGTATTTATCTTTCATTCAAAAGACTGGGAATCTCTCTCTCTCTCTCTCTCTCTCTCTCTCTCTCTCTCTCTCTCTCTCTCTCTCTCTCTCTCTCTCTCTCGGGTGTGATATGCGCTTCGCTGGTCGACGAGGACTGTTGAATGTTAAGTAGCGTGCGGCTTAACCAATCATGTAACTCGATACGTCGCTAGAAATCAAAACGCAGATCGTACTGGGTTGCAAACGGTGGAACCAATTGTATAATGCTAAAGTACGAGTAATGTATATGCTTAAAATGCAGTTTCTCCAAAGTGAGCACAAAGAGCTCGTCTGGTCTGTTGAAATGATTAAAGTTGATAGGTGCGGACTTTAGCCTTGTAAGAGTAGTGCATGTATCCCTTCATGCCAAAGTATAACCTCAAAGGCCAAATTCCGAATTTGGTTTTTCTTTTACCCCCCTAATAATTTTAATTTTCTGGCAGCGACCTAAGGAGTTAATGTGGGACGCAGAAAAGATCTATGATACACGTGTTATCTCCAATATGTGGCTCTACAACACTGTCAGCCATACACTCTCCTTGCCTTACCTCTCCTATCAACTTTTGTGGTTCCTGTTCTTTTAACATAACTCTTAGCACACACTCCTCCAATTCAACTAACACCAGCACCACCAACCGTCTCTGATTCTTTCCGAGAATCTCAGCCATGGCTGCTTCAACCCTCTCTTCCCCAGCTCCTTCTCAGGTACTTCTATTCTTCACCGTGTTATTTGTCTTGCAACCGTCTTGTGATTGTCCACGCACGTTCAATGTGAATCGTCAGGAAGAACGAAAAAAGAAGGAACATTTTCTTTAGTCTTAAGATCTTTTTGGATTATTGAAATAGGCAAATTTGTGCTTTGGGCTTTGCTTTTTCAGCTGTGTTCGAGTAAGAATGGGATGTTCGGTGCATCGTCATCACAAGCACTGATGGTGAAGCCAACGAGGACATCCGTGGTGGGAAAGGACAGGGGAGTGAAGATTACATGCCAAGCCACGAGCATACCGGCGGACCGGGTGCCGGACATGGAAAAGAGGCAGCTCATGAATTTGCTGTTGTTGGGTGCTCTTTCTCTCCCCACTGCTGGCATGCTAGTCCCTTATGCCATCTTCTTTGCTCCACCTGGGTAAGTTGTTATCGTGCTCTTTTCACAGATTTTGCAATTGCTCTGCAACAAGATTCTTTAATTGGGATTGTATTCTGATTAGTGTGAAGAGAACTCGGGTATAGATTCTCCCTTCTTGCCGGTCCGAATGCTACGTGTCTGTAGGGAGTTTTTGAAATTGCTATGTACATTTCGGCTTGAGGATGAGTCATGTAATTGCTCCTACTATTTCGACGTTTACGCGAGTAGAAATTGCACAGAGATTCCACGATGGATTCTATCGTGTTGGATTGATACAAATTTAGGCGAGTTAATTAATGGGCTAGCCTGTGCTTGATGGCCGGTATGGTGGTCTCTTGGAGGGGTTATTACTTTGTCTTGATCTACTTCCCTATAAGATTTGTCCACTCATTGACTTGCTGGACTATCTAGCTGTCTCGACAGAAATGCTTGTAGAATTATTACGCGCTATGGGATGTGATCATATTTACATATATATGCAGTTGAGCTTGATCAATTACACTTGTGGGTTCAAACAGTCATCAGTTTGTCTTCTGGATTAGTTGCTGTTTTGTACCTGGGAAATATGGTCCCTTAACTCTCAGATTCTGACAATTGTCTCTTCTGCAAACCGAGCAGAAGCACAGGAACTGGTGGTGGTACCGTGGCAAAGGACGCGATTGGAAACGATGTCATTGCTGCCGAATGGCTCAAAAACCACGGTCCTGGTGACAGAACACTAACTCAAGGATTGAAGGTGCTTCCAATCTTCGAATGTTTCGAAAAATATGATCACAATGTTTAGTTACTAGGGCTTTGCTCTTTGGCAATACCTGGTAAACACAATCTGAAAGAAAAAAATACATTCAGCCGACAAAAAAGCTCTTCTTCTGCAAGACTTTCATCATCCATTGGCATTGGTGAAGATTTTTTCTGTCGGATGTGTATCACGTGTCCTGGATCAGCAGGGTTTTCCATTAAAATCGAAAAGCATCTTTGAGTTACATAGGCTGTTCATGAAAATACATTACGTTGTGCTGCACAAACTGGTCCATCTTTGCGAAATTCACAAGTCATTTAGTCTCAAGTTGCAATCAAGTTTGTTTTCATTTCCATAGTCGCCTTCTACACACTGCCCGTTTCATCCAAACTTGAAACACTTCCTATTACAGGGAGACCCGACCTACCTCGTCGTGGAAAGTGACAAAACACTGGCGACATACGGCATCAACGCGGTGTGCACGCATCTCGGTTGTGTCGTGCCATGGAATACTGCAGAGAAGAAGTTCATCTGTCCTTGCCACGGTTCTCAGTATAACAACCAAGGGAGGGTTGTTCGAGGACCGGCTCCTCTGGTAAAACCCCTAAAAAAATTGCTAATCCCAACATTTAGCTCCTTCATCACACTCTTAATCCCTGTATTGACAAAATTGATGTTTTCGATCTTGTTTTGGAACAGTCACTGGCCTTGGCTCATGCAGATATTGATGATGGAAAGGTAGTTTTTGTCCCATGGGTTGAGACTGACTTCAGAACTGGTGAAGCTCCATGGTGGGCATAGAGCCACTTCATCTGGAGCAGTTCCAGTTTATACTTTGTCTTTCAGGCACTTTCACTTCATTTAGCAAGAAGATCATTGGCTGAACCAATTGTTGACGCATGCCTAAAACAAAACTCGCAAGCAGTCATTTTTTATTTTTTACTCAACTATATATTTGTCATTGTTTTCACATACTGAGATTCTCTTGGCTGCAAATATCATCTCGAAATTCGTTAATTTTCTGTCCTGATGCCAATCTATACGATCGACCATCTTCAACAAGTGGATTGCTTCATACATGCCGTCTTCGCTCAACCGGACTAGGACTTTCAAATCATAGCACTCATGCTTTTTCTCGAGCCACCTCCAGAGCTTAGATCTTTTTGCTCCAATAAGCATCTGGTGAATTTGATAAGACGACTATTACACCTGATGGAGATTAGTCGAGCTATGGAAAAACCTCGGATACTCCATCATCAGGGAAAAATGCAAACTTTTTATTGGAAATGAACAGCTTTGTTGAGGGAAACAAAGTAGGCTCTCCCATCATCAACATTCAAAGTGACCATTGACAATTTTGATGGCGCTGGAATTCCATTGGGAAGTTGATAACTCATTAGTGCGATGAGATGCGCTGGCAAAACAATTCAACCATTGTTCAGCTGCAAATGAAGTTTTTCAATTCAGGGATTCGATTAGAAAGGCAGTGAAGTAATCAATTGGAATATGTTTGGTAGATTACCTTCTAAACAGTTGTAACCTCAAAAATGCTATTACACCAAGAGGCATGTGTTCTAGCAATACAACAGGAAAAGTCCCGACGAAAGAAATGAAAAGAAATGGGAAGTGCGCTCATTCGATGAAAAAATTAGTATCAGCCTTTCCTGTAGATAAATGAAAGTAAGGCCTACCAAAAAAAGAAAATCCTGTAGAGAAAAGAAGAAAAATAGGAGAAAATAGACAAAAAAAACAGTGAACTCGTTAAGGAGACTATCAAACCAGCCATTTACTTTTATTCACTGAAGAATGTATGAGGAGTTTGCGACCTTCTACGGAGCCATGAGACTTTCAATGGTGTAAAAGAGAGACTCTGCCCAATCAGCTTTGAATAACAATGTTTGCAAGGTGTTCATAACATCATATTCTGGATCCAATTTGCGCTGCCATCCCTGGAGGAGAAAAAAAAAGACCCTTCTGAGGCATATATCGTATAAGCTTACTCAAAATATCTCGGCAAGCAAGCATGCTACGGACCAAGAATATATTCATGGTATCTTCATATTTGTTCCATAATCCCTCAACCAAAGAAATGGCTGGCAGTGTCACCAGTGTAAAGGAAAGCAATTGCCATTCTTTGGATTTTGTCGGAAAATATCAAGATTATGAAGAATCTCAAATACATCACCCATACAAGCACCCAGAAGGCTCTCATGAGACCTTGGACAACTGTTATTGAGACCTTTTTGCTAGTCTTGAAGCAAAAGGCCTTAAATGATGCAACTTATCACCTCTCCAAATTACTTCATACTTGAGAAGATTTTCATTTGGTACTCAAATATTAAATGTTCATACTCAGTGAAAACCATGTTTCCATGGGAAATAAACAAAACTGGTCTGAGCATAGCCGCCATATCTGCGTTAATACAAATGTCACCTTCGTGAAATAACAATTGTGCTACAACTGACAAGGCCATATAATGGGAGAAGAAAACTTCTCGTATGTTCAAAGAGACTACAGAATCATCCAGCACAAACCATCATGGGAAGTTGTGATCAAGCTTCATTGATAAGAAGGATGCACTTTTCTCTCAGAAGAGATGTTAATGATTGCAAGAAAATGCCAAAGTTTACCTCCAGAACCAATGTTGTTACCATCACGGTACAAACATTGCCATCAATATTGACTCTATGACGCCTGACATGCTCAAGTAGTTGATGCATGCAATCAGCTGGATGAACATCATTAGCTTCCTGGGAGCCCCAATAAGTGAAAGACTTTTCTACATCCTGATAAACCAACAACAAGTGTTCTTAAATATGTCAATATGAATGAGAATGAGATATACAATCAATCAATCTGTTATTTAGATAAGGGTGCACATACTAATATGTAATTGCCACATGATCATATGCTCCATAGTTTAACCCTCATATGACAAAACGGAAAAAGCCAATAAATTCAGTGACTGTTTGCTTTATGAGAAACCAAGCAAATTAAATTCATTGAGGAACTAAAAACTTATTGGCAAGAACATAATGAATACGTTACCTTTATAAAAGCTCTTGGATCAGGGCAACTTTGCTTTCTGGACAATCTCAGTGTGTATTCGGCAGCACTCCGACCATCTCGAACGGCTACAGCCTTAAAAAATTCTAACAAATTTATCTGGTCTCTTTTGGATAGTTCAGCAGTCATTCCCACATCAAGGAAGATGACATGAGGCCTTGATCTGAAGGGTTGCCTGTGTGACAACTTATTACCAGTTACTCGAACTAGAATGTTCCCAGGATGCATGTCCGCATGGACAAAATTGTCGACCTGGACAAGGGTAAAAAGAATCTCAGAAACAAATTAGAGAACGTTACAGCAGGTAATAAGTTCCGGTTTGACAGAAGAGCTTAAAACACAGAAACAGGAAAAAGAATGTGAACAGGTAAGGAGATTCTCTACAATAATTCGGAAGGTCGATCAATATCATATCCAAGGGAAATAATAATGAATATAGATAGTAAAAAAGACTTGAGCTCAAACTTGGGACAAGGATATTCCCATTTTCACCAGACAGTTCATCAGCTAGTTGCCTTGAGTAATTATGAGTTGTCACTTCTTTCACCACAAAAGCAGATACTAACTCTCACAAACTACTCAAACCAATTTTAGTGGTCTGATTTTGCCACTGGGCACACAGATGGATGGACACAGAAAGTATCATGCTGTTATGCTGCATGATTCAGATAATATGCAACAGTAATGTCAAATATTCCTCAAGTCAGCAATTAGGAATTCAACTTAGTTATTTACAAAAATTATGAATCTCATGATCCTTGATGCTAGAAACATGATCGACTAGGAACAAAGAACAGAAAATTGAGTTAATTTTATATCTGGTGTGGTCCACTACACTTTAGGATAACCTGCATTTGCATTACTGAACTTTAATTGTTATTACCTAATGCAATGAATTTCGATTTTACTTGTACTTTGGCTATTAGTAGATCAATTTTCTATCAGAAATTCAATGAGGTTGCCTAAATGTACCGTGTAAGATTACAGATTACATGTCCACGGGCAATCATGTAGAATTTCAGCAGAAGAGCCACAGTGCATCAATTACAAGTAAATCAAAGTTTAGTGCACATCAGCAAATTAGGTTCAGTTTCCTAGATGAAAATTATCCGAAAGTACAATGGCCATATGTGAAATTTATCTAGAAAAACCTCACCAGTCACAAGGTCCTAACATACATGAGTAAAGATCATATCTGAGTCAAGCAAGCTACTGTGAATAGAGATGCCACATGTATGGAAATTTACCAAGAGCATCTTTAGAAGAGCATGTGTTCCTATATGAGCAAGGGCACTTTTAATTGCTTCATGCCCTTCAAGCTTCTCAACATAGTGAAGAACACCTTCACCTGGTTCAAAAGTTTCCACTAGAACAGCAGGGTGCACAAGGGGATAGAGAGGCTTGGGGAACGACACATCCTTCCATTTGCGGAAGTTGTAGATAAACCGGCTCAAATGAGCTGCTTCCCTGGCAAGATCGACTTGAGACATCATGAAAGCAGCAAATTGCTGTAGGCTCTCATCCAATCTCATCCATTTCAAAGCAGGAATGAAGTTTGACACTTTAGCGACAAAATTAATTATCGCAAAGTCCCTTCTTATTGCCTCACCAACACCAGGATGCCGAACCTTCACAGCCACCACCATTGGCTTCATCTGTTGGCCAGGGTATCTGTACTTTAGAACTGCTTTATGAACTTGTGCCACACTTCCAGATGCTAGAGGTTCTTCCTCAAATGATTCAAAAATCTCATACAGCTTGCGGCCGAATGCCTTTTCAATTGTTTTCTTTGTGTAGGGGAAACTGTGAGATGGTGCTTTTGTATGGAGTTCTGCCAGCTCATCACAAAGATCTCTTGCAAAAAGATCTGGTCTTGTTGCAGCCCACTGACCCCATTTTATAAATGCAGGGCCAGCCTTCTCTAATGTAGAATGGACTAACTGAATCCATCTTCTCCTGAACTGCACACCTAGAGTATCTGCCAAGGGCGCCATGGATGCGCAAGGCCAGAACAACATGGCTAGATAGATAGCTCTGAGAATTATAATAAAAACTTCTAGGGTTGAAAACAGAAATGAAGTCAAATAAACACGCCCATCTTGTGCATTCATATACATAGTACTCCTTGGTGGAATGCGCTCTGCTTCTGCCCATGCTCGCTCTGCCCACACAAGCTCCCCAATTATGAAGGCAATGACTCCAGGAGAAATTAGGTTTGATCGTGTCAGAGCGAGGCTCACAGCACCAGCAATTTTACTGATTAGTGGCAAAGCAGGCCCATTGTTACGATATAACAGAGAGAGCCTCTTCCAAGCAACAAGAGCATGGTTTGGAATGGTAAAGCAACAACTTCTAGAGAATACTCCTTTTGCTTTATAGACTGTATGAGGGTAATATCCTCTCAAAGGAAGTTTATAATGGTAGCTAAAGCGGTGGGAGTATGGTCGATGACCAACCTTACAGTAGGTTGCGAGCTTAATCTGTCCTGAATAACTGGTCTTAAGGTATGGAAGCAGGGGACGAGCAACCCTCTTTATATTGTCGAAAACCAAATGTCTGCATTCACAAGTTGAAAATTACACAGTTTAACGCCAGCAGAAAAGACTGGTACAAGTCACCAAGATTGAAACAGACGATGAAAATTCACTCCGATCGGAGCAATAATTCCTCCTCCTTTTATTAGCTCGAGAAAAATCATGAAGGAGACAAAGAATGGCCCGACTAGATATGCGAGACGGGTTACGCGATTGGCCGAGAAACCTCGAGAATGCATTCGCCCTGGAATTACACAAACATGTCCAGAACATGATCCAGAAACACCCATTTACCCCGAAAGATTATCTTGCAGAAAGTGAGGCGGGCACTCAATTATGAGGACACCCTCTTCGATATCGTTCATCATGGAGGAACCCAAAATTCAGAAATTCCTAACAGACAAGCGATTGATGCAGAGGTAACCCATATAGCAGGAAAACACAGAAAAGAATACATTTTTTTCGTCCCCAATGCATCCTGCTCCATTCTCCTCAAGTTATGTTTCAGATTCACGACAGCCATTCCTATCCAGCATTGCAATCCCGATTAACTCTTCCTTTCTAGATTCATCTCTACTAGAACAGAGACCTTGAGATGTGAACCTTAGGAAAAGAGAGAGAGAGTCACCTCGACATAGCGATTGGGGTAGCTCGGAATCAATACCATCCGAAGCGCGCAGATGAACCGCACCACTTGCTAGCATTTTTCCTCGAGGAAGGCGGTGCTCGGCAATCCATCGACCGGGGGCGCCTCAGCCGTCCTCGCCGCCGCCATCGATGGTGCTCCGGCGGCCCATTCGCGGCGGACCAGACGCCGGTGGAATCGATTTCGGGGGGGTTGCGGAGCCGGAGGCGGGGAACTCGTCGGCTGGTGGCTGGGGGGCGGTGTTGACGGGTCGGGGGAGGGGGGAGCGAAACGAGAATGAAAATACGAATTTGGATCGTTGGTCTCTGTGGCCAGTGTAGCGGTAGTAACAGGTGACACGTGTCCACACTTTTAGTCGAGTCAAGTCGAGCCAAATCAAATCGAGTTAAATTGTATCATCGAATTGATATGGTCAAGGTTTGATGAGCAAGAGCTCAAGATCAAAATTGATATTGAAATCGAAACTGCAGGGATAAGAAAAGATAATAATTTTGTTGTAAATTAACCCCCTTTCCCCTCCTATTTTTCACCATTCCCAACTCATGTGTCATTTTCCTAACACTCTTGCTTTTTAAAATCATCTATTAATCTCGTTTTTTGCTTTTTCTATTCGATGTAATCGCACTCCAGACATCGCAACAAACAACAATTTGATAAACTGAATGCCGAAGGAGGTATTTAGGAATCACAACCATCTCCTCAAATCGGCATTCACCAGTCGACGGGCTCTCACGCTTTCCACATTACGCACTCCAACGAGACAACACATGGTCGAACGTCAATGCAACCGAGTTGGTGTACCGACCAAGAAGAAGAAGCATTGACATATTGGAATTTTTCGAGATTAAAGAAATCCTAGGACTGGACTGTCATGTAGTTTGTAAATAGTGTTAAACAACTTTTGCCCACACATACGAGAAGCAGGGCAAGACATTTGTGTCGGTACAGAGAGAACAATTGCAGTTAATAAGGGCGTGTGCTTAGTCCTAAGCGGGCCAACCAAGTTTATCTGTGCAATATCAGATTTCAAATTATACTAGTATACTAATGCAACATGTTTTGAATGTACTATGTACAGTTTTGGATATTGGAAAAAATTATTATGTTCGCGTAATATTTATTAATTCGCAATTTAATAATTCAAAACTTTGTTCTATGAAACTTTATTGCATTTTTTCCATAATTAAATTTAATTGACAAAAAAGGCCTGGCTCATGGGCCAGCACAGCCCAGTTACCAGTCCTACATGTAACAAAGTTTTGGTATCGGCCACATTTGTTTTTGAACCATAATGGGCCTCAAGCCGTTTGGCCCATGATCCAGCAAGAATTTGGACCGGTGCAAGATGGAAGCCCAGTTCTTTTGCTGAACTTTTGAGAAAATGCTCCGCTAACATACACTGATTATGCTGTCATTAAGTGTTAATCATAGTCTATAAAACCAAAGACAGTTCATAGGTAAACATATAAGACCCTTGACATGCAATTAAAAAGTGATAGTAGGCAACATGGTCATCGACAATCTCATCTTTGCACACGTGCCAATTGAGTCATAATCTTTCAATTTTATTAATTAAATCATAAATCTTTGATAATTTGTCAATGTAGTCATTTCGGCCGAGTTTAGCCGGAAATTGATAACGTGGGTGCCAATTATCTTATGTAGCATTACTGCCGCTGACATGGACATTTTTTGCATTTTTAAAAATTTTTCTGAATTTTTTAATTATCTTTTTCTTTCTTTCTCTTTCTCTTTTCTCTACTAAGTCCGGCAAGGATCGCCGACTAACCTTCACAAGCCATAGACGAGAGCCTGCAACCCTCGCCTATGGCTGGGAAGGGTCGGCCGGCGACCCTTGTCGAACTTAGTAGAAAAAAAGAAAAAGAAGAAAGAAAAAAAACGAAAATTACTAAAAAATTCAGAAAATTTAAAAAAAAATGTAAAAATTATCCACGTTAATGCTGGCTATGCCACGTAAAACGATCAATATCCATGTCATCAATTTCTGTCCAAAATCGAACGGAAGGATTACATCAGCAAATCGTTTATGACTCAATTGACAAAATCGAAATGTTTAAGACTAAATTGGCATAACTGTAATAGATTTAGAACTTTTTCTGTGATTTTCCTAGTGGAAAGGAAAGAATTATGTTTCCTTCATCGATCTTTCCTCCAAACAATCTTCTACTTGGTAAGTTTCAAACAAAAACATCATTTACATTTAGTTAAATTAGCATACTATGAAGTTCATAACATGTAATCCACCATTCATGGACATAACTGGAGGAAGTTTTGCCTAACTAGGATAGAGGAAAATATTACCCGAATGGGAATTTGATGGTTTGGTGTAGCAGTGGCAAATCTCATAAATCATAATCATAAGATATTATTTTGTAAACAAGCAAGTAATGTCATAAAATTTCATTCCTACAAGAGTTGCTCATGATTATGGTTTTGTAAATCACGAAATTGAGATTCTTTCCAGGATATGGAAACCGATGCTGCTTGTACATTCAAGTTGCAATCTTTGTTGTGCTTGTTCCTAATCCATTTGCTACTGTTGATCAAATTACTTGGTTGCCTAGCTAATCTAGTGTGTTCTCAGTTGCCAGTGCTTGGAGCTTCCATTCAAGAGAAGAGTGCTCGTGTTGTATCTATTGGGAGAACAATAACAATTCGAACAATATCGGATTAGCGCAGCAAAATAAAATAATCTCCCTTCTTGTGCAAATCTAATAGGAAATGACTGAATCGAGGAATATAAATACCAAGCACGTAAACATAAGGCAATTTTTTAAGTGGAAAACCTCTTCGGTGTGAGGAGATAAAAAACCACGGGGATCGGAGTCCCCCAAAAAATCTTCACTATCAGCAAAACTGGGTGAATAAAGTTCTTCTCTAGTAAATACTAGAGGTCCATAGCAGCAAAAACATCAAGAACATCATTCTTGGCAATAGACATGAACTTCATAAGAGATAAAATGATAAATCTCACCAAAAAATGCACTTTTGGTGCAACCCACGAAAACCTGATGTAGAGAGCTTCAACTGAAAATCAAACCGTTCAGATTTGAGAAGAATGCGGCACGAACACGCTGACAAAATTTCGGCTCAATCGGACTACGAATCAACCTTCGACGTCAGCATCAGATATATCCTCAAATCTAGATTTTCTGCTCTCTCTTTCTCTCTTGTTACTATGTCTCTCAAAAAAGTTCTTTTGCGGCTACGACATCATAATAATTAGAAACCCTATTTCTCCATATGAATAGACATATGGGCTCAAGCCTTGAGCTTGCAATACATTGGGCTTCCTCCACATGGGAGTGAACCCAGCCAACAAATCTCCCCTTCACGACGATGCGGAGGGATTCACCATCCCTGCTATGAATCTGCAATGTTGAAGCTTCTCCCTTGATAGAGTCTTCGTCATCATATCGAAACCATTATAGTCCGTATGAATTTTCTCAAGTTCTAACAACTTCTCATCTAGAGCGTCCCTTATCCAATGATATCTAACATCAATGTGTTTCGATCTAGAATGAAAATATGAATTCTTACCAAGATGAATCGCACTTTGGTTGTCACAAAATAACTCATACCTCTTTTGCTTGAACCTAAGTTCTTCCAAGAACTTCTTCAGCCATAGCAACTCTTTACTAGCTTCAGTCGCCGCAATAAATTCAGCTTCTGTTGTAGAAAATGCAACACACTTCTGCAACCTTGACTTCCATGACATAGCCCCACTTGCAAAGAAAATCAAATAACCAGAAATAGATTTACGAGTATCAATATCTCCAGTCAAGTCGGAATCTGTGTATCCAACTAACTCAAGTTTCCTGGTTTCGAAACTGAGTTTCAAACTGGAAGTTCCCCGAAGATACCTCATGATCCACTTCACTGTATTCCAATGCTTTCTACATGGATTTGATAAATAACGACTAACAACGCCAACTGTATACGCCAAGTCTGGCAGTGTACATACCATCGCATACATTAAGCTTCCCACAGCCGAGGCATATGGAACACTTTCCATATCTTTCTTCTCTTTATTAGTCGTGGGACTTTGCTTTGTATTCAACTTAAAGTGGGCAGCAAGAGGAGTGCTAACCACTTTAGCCTTGTCCATGTGAAATTTCTAAAGAATCTTCTCAATGTACTTCTCTTGCGACAAGAACAACTTCTTAGCATTTCTGTCCCGAGCAATTCTAATGCCAAGAATCTGCTTCACCGGGCCCAAGTCTTTCATGGCAAAAGACTTGCTTAATTGTTTCTTCAATAACTCAATTCGTGAAGCATTCATGCCGACAATTAACATATCATCAACATAAAGCAAGAAAATAATAAAGTCATCATCAGAAAATTTTTGGACAAATACACAATTATCCGAGAAAGTCTTCTTATAGCCCTGCTCTATCATAACTGAGGTAAACTTTTTGTACCACTGTCTCGGTGCTTGCTTTAGGCCATAGAGACTCTTCTTTAGTTTGCACACATAATCATCTTTTCCTTTCACTTTGAAACCTTCTGGTTGTTCCATGTATATCTCTTCCTCCAAGTCACCATGTAGGAAGGCCGTTTTGACATCCATCTGCTCAACTTCCAAGCCTAGAACCACACGAATAGAAGACATTTTTACCACCGGAGAAAATATATCATCAAAGTCAATATCCTTTCTCTGACCGAATCCCTTAACAACCAATCTAGCTTTGTATCGCGGTTGTAAAGTATGTTCATCTTATTTCAACCTATATACCCACTTGTTCTTTAAAGCTCTTTTACCTTTAGGCAATTTCACCAGCTCAAAAGTATGATTATCATAAAGTGACTGCATTTCATCCTGCATTACATCAAACCATTAGCTTTTGTACTCATCTTTTATTGCTTATGCATAGCACTCTGGTTCACCTGCATTAGTCAATAATACATACTCATCTCCAGAATATCTGGTGGAAGGTCGTCGATCTCTGACGGATCTCCGAATTGGAATATATGGTGGAGCATCTAATGGAGTCTTTGGTTCAGAAATGATATTATCTGTCTCAACATATTAAGGAATATGTGCATTGTCTGAATATTTACTTCCTGCTACTCCTCATCAACTTGTGTAGGAATATGTGTATGAGGAACTAGATCCAAGTCAATCAAGTCATCACTAATCTATGGTACTGAAATCATCTTCGATTTCTCAATATCCTATATTGTTTGATCTTCCATAAACACAACATCTCTGCTTCTTATAATTTTCTTCTCAACTGGATCATAGAACTTGTAGCCAAAAAAA